ACTCACATCAGATTCCATTTCCTTCATTAACCTATCTGATGCTTTCGTCATTGCAGTTGCCACTGCCTGTTTTGCAACCTTCTTAGCCTTCCTATACTCAGACTCCGCTTCCTCCGTCATGTCCCTTCTCCATACCCTAAACCTCTCCTTCTTGACTTCCAAAACCCTTCTTATATCTTCATCCCACCACCACGTCTCACCATGCCTACACTTTCCTTTCGTCCATCCACATACTTTATCTGCCATAGCCAACACACAGTCCCTGTATCTCTCCCAAACATCTCCATCCTTACCACTCTCCCAATTTTCAGCCACCTTCACTTCAAATGCCTTCCTCACCTCTGCATCCTGCAACTTCCATGTCTTTCTCTTTGCCACAAACTTATCCTTCTTCCTCCTCCCCATTTCTTTTGATGTCACATCCATCACAACCATACTATGCTGCAACATACCAGGTATCGCCTTCACATTCTTCACATACTTCCTATGTTTGGCCCTTACCAATATATAGTCGATCATCGATCTATGTTCGCCTGACCTATAAGTAATCAATCGCGCTGGTTCCCTTGTGAACCAAGTGTTCCCCACCACCATGCTGTGTGCATCCGCTAACTCTTACACTCTACGCCCTTCCTCATTCCGTATACCATATCCCCATCCCCCATGTACACCTTCATATCCGTCTGCATCCGCCCCCACATGACCATTCAAATCACCCAACAACACCACAAACTCATTCAACCCCGCTTGCCCAATCTCGTCAGAAACATCATCATAAAACCTATCCTTCTCCTCTTCCTTCCTACTTTGTTGCGGAGCATATCCTGATATCACCCTCACTATTACTTTTCCAAACACCATCACCACCACAATTACCCTATTGCTTCTCCGTCTCACTTCCAACACCTGCTCCAACAACTTTTCTCTTACCATCACACCAACTCCTCCCGTACCATCATCCCCCTTCCACCACAACTTATATCTTCCACCTTTAGCCCCCACAAACCTTGTACCCTCACCCTTCCATCTGACCTCCTGTAATGCAGCCACGTCAACCATTCTCCTCTGCAGCTCCTCCACCACTTCCAAACTTCTTCCTGTCAACGTGCCTACATTCCAGGTACCAAACCTCCAACCCCTTGGTCTACAAGTAGTCCTTCCATCTATAGTGCCTTGCACCGCCACACTATAGAGTGGGGTGCCAGTAGCCAGACCATCCACAGGGCCTTGCACCACAACCCCATCGACTGGGTCTCCGGAGATTCTTCGCACCCTCTTCTGCCGGATACTGAGGGCCATTGTTTTCTCCGTCATCATCATAAGCATTTATTATTTGGCTAGTTTTTACACAGGACGCCCTTCCTTACGCAACCACAGTTATAAGCGGTGGGCCTAGCCTTTGAGGATCCAACATCACTCACAAGGCAGTGAGGGTCAGTTTAATGTCATAACCAGGACAACATATATATATATATATATATATATATATATATATATATGTATAGATATATATATATATGTATGTATGTGTGTGTGTATTTTTATATAAATATATATATTTTATTCCTAGAGAACTGTATATTATTTTTATTTTAATAAAATAAATAATTGCGACAAGAATTTGGCTAGAAATTTTTAAAAATGTAATAAAAAACTATTCAACGCTAGAAATTTGGTAGATTTCATAAACTACTGCATTAATTATGATTTTTTCCGACATTATATATATATATATATATATATATATAATGTTCTATTTATACATTTATGTATGTTGTATATATATGCAGGTGAGACCAACTTAATAAGTTTTCATCTGTCGCCAAGATACTTGGACATTAGAGTGTTCTTGTTCTGTTTATTTTAATCACTAGTTGGCTCAACAATTTTAGTAATAAATTAAAATATTGAAAAGTGGAGAAGAATTAGAATTTTACATATTTTTTAAACATTTACAGGTCTAAGGATTTTAAAAAATTAAAACAGTTTAAAAATGCTTTTATTGTTCATCAATATTGAAAATAAATCAGGAAAAGATTCATTAAAATTTTGTGTTTTTTTTGTTTTAATTAGTTATTAATTAATATTTTTCAAAATTGTGATCTTATGTTTATGGGTTGCATGTTTAATAATTTATGATGAAAATAGAATTTGCTATTGCTTCTTACCTTGACTTGTTAGGTATCAATCGATTATAAAACACACAACAAACAGAATCAAGTCAGTTTGGTAGATGACAGAGCAGATTTGACATCTGATTTGAACAACATGTCACCACAACATATGGAATGTAAATAAATTCGCATTTTATATTTTAATTAATTATTAATGAAAGTTGCAGAATACATTTTTTAATTTGTTGATATGATATTTAAAAACTTTAAAACGTCATTAATTTTTTGACCTAATGTTGTATAAAAAATAGTCTCTTGAATTTATGTTGAACTTTGCACGATATTTCAATCATCAGCTTCATCAAAACATTCGTTATCAGACACAACACAAAAACCAACGGCAAGGTTGGCAGCAAAGCAATCTGGAATGTGGTTAACCAAACCTGAGAGGTCATCAAAATTTACAATCCAATAGCTGTTTAATGCTGACTCTCGTAATACTTCCATGTCCTCTGATCTGTCATACAATCCGCCACCATTCTAATTAACCACAATTCATTGCCAGCAACTCTCGCTATTAATGACATCTTCCCAAAAGTTTGCTCTTCTGGTACTGAATCGGATGTCAATATATAAATCTTCTAATCTCTTCCTTACTAAATACAAACCATTCTACCTACTTCAACTTGATATATTCATCATCGAATATGGGCTTCAATGTTCTGTCTTAGGCCCTCTACATTTATGTTTCTACTTTACACACACAACACCCATCCAACAAAATAATAAAATACGCAGACGATACATATCTATCCTCTAATACTAAAACTATCCAAACCGAGCTGGATTCGCTTTCTAAGTGGTCCAACATTCCATTCTTTCACTTAATTTTTATTTGATTTAATCATGCATAACAGTCGTAAGAAAATCACACCTCCATCAGTTTATCCATCAATCACCAATGAAACACAAATTCATAACTTAAGACAACACAAAGTCAAATATGATCTCATCACTTATTCAGCACTACAAAATAAAACATTCATTCCTTGGCACCTTCAATCCGTCACCTGTTCACTCACTAATTGCGGTAAATTTAACTAATTCATTCAATCAGAATTCATTCGTCTATTTTTTTCTCTTAATCCTTTTCCTACTCCTTTTATTCAATGTATAATCTACACTTTTTGTATTTATTATTTTTCTTATTTTACTTTCCGTTCTTATTTATATGCGATAATAATTTAACGACATTAAAAGAAACATACTTCCATTAAGACACATACATATCTCTGATGGATGAAAGAAAGAAAGTGAAAGCTTGCAATCCTGATAGTTATAAAAAGCTGGACAAAACTATCAAAAAATCATTGAAAAGATCAAAAACAGTAATACAAATGCATTGTATAAAAACATCAGAGAAATCCCTGGAAAAAGGGTTTGTACCGTTTCAGGATGCATAAAAGCTAAATCCGGCGAAGCAATCTTAGAGAAAGAAAAAGTATTTGAAAGATGGACTGAATACACTTTTTGATGATAACGATGGTGAAAAGCCTCCTATTAAAAAAGACATAGAAGGACCAAAGATACTTTGATCTTAAGTTCGTGCCGCTCTTTTCAAAATGAAATCAAATAAAGCGCCAGGTCCAGATGAGATAGTTGTTTAAGAAATTAAATGCCTTGATGAATTTGGCATTGAAAAAGTGACAGAAATTTTAAATGAGATTTATAACAGCGGCGAAATTCCTGAAGACCTATCCAAGTCAATATTTATTGCATTGCCTAAAAAACCTAATGCGACAGAATGTGAACTACATCGAACAATCAGCTTGATGAGTCATCTTACAAAACTTCTTCTGATGATGAGAGCACGAACCAAAATCAGATCTGAAATTTCAAATGCACAATATGGTTTTGTCAAGGATTATGGTACAGGAAACGCTATCTTTATTATTATTATTATTATTATTATTATTATTATTATTATTATTATTATTATTAAGATATTTAATTAAGAATTAATTAAAATCAAAAAGTTCTCAAAAGTTCTATCTATATTAAATTAATTATAAGAGTTAATGTAAAGTACGGTATAAAATGGTGGTTACAAATAAACAATTCAGTATCGAAATCAAAGTGTAAACAAAAAGGTTTTCGTTTTTCTTAAAATCGTCCGGCTTCAAATCCTTAGATTTCAAAGATTTTGGCAAACTATTCCAAACAGCCGGTACCGAAACAGCTAAATTTCTTGATGCGATCTGTAAATTGATATCCGGGACAAACAGCAAAATGTTATCATCTGATCTAAGTTTCATGCCACTCGTCATTACAGATTTTTCTTCTATTTTGTTAATTAGGTAACTTGGTAATAGGCCATGTAACGCTTTATACATTATTAGACTTATTTGGTAAGTAATTCTTTTTTTTATAGTAAGCCAATGAAGACTTTCCCAAATTGGAGTTACATGATTATATCTGAGACCACCTACAATCAACTTGGCCGCTCTATTCTGAATGGACTGAAAAGTAGAAACATGTTTATCAGGCAACCCATAAAGAGGCTATTGCAATAATCTAATTTCGAAAGAACTAATGCATGTACCAACGTCTGAATGGAAGATTTATTCAAAAAATTTCGAACCTTATATAACTCTTTGATCTGAAAGGAACATGCTCTTGTTATCGTTTTTATATGATCATGCATTGATAATCTGGAATCCGGTGAACAACCCAAATTAGTTACTTTATCGCAAAACTAATTTTGACGTCATCGATTTCCACTGAATCAATATTATTTTTTTTTAACTGCTGCCATGTCCCAATGGGAAGAAATTTTGACTTCTGTTGGTTTAATTTAAGACCATTGTTAGACATCCACAATTCAATATTTTTTTAGACACTTGACGAGTCCATTTATTTCACATTGTAGTAATTCTGGCTTATTGCTTACTATTATTTGGATATCATCAGCATAAGCATTATACCTAAAACCGAACTCCTCAATCACCTTCAAAACCCCGACAGTATACAAAACAAACCCCGGCAGTATACAAAACAAAAAGAATAGGTCCTAGCACTGAGCCTTGTGGTACTCCTGTTGTCAAAACCATTTTCTCAGATAATACATTTCCGAAAACTACCTGCTGCTTCCTACCACCCAGATATGATCTAAACCATTCAATAACTGCACCAGATATACCATATTCATAAGCCAATTTTTCCAGAAGTATTTGATGGTCGACACAACCAAAAGCTGCACTAAGAAAGATCTTAAGATCGAAGAAAGTTACTAAGGCCACATATTGTTCAGAGCGCAGCAAACAGTTCAGAGAAAACACAAAATAGCGCTGTCTCAGTAGAGTGGTGTCGACGATATCCTGACTGATGAACTGGTAACAGGCTGTTTAAAGTCAGATAATTCAAAAGTTGTTTAACTACGATTTGTTCGATTACTTTAGAAATAAAACAAATATTGGAAATCAGTCTATAACTAGTCAAATCATTTTTATTCATGTTCACTTTTTTAATACCGAAAAAATTGCTGCTTGTTTACACCCAAGAGGAAAAAAACCACTGCTTAAACTCAAATTTATAAAACTCGTCAGAAAAACTATAAACAGATCAATATATTTTTAAAAAATATGTGTGGGAAAGACATCAATCAAGCAAGTCTTCGATGGTAAGCTGAGCACCACCTTTTTGACCTCCAATTCTGTAAGAAGCGTAAAATCAGAGAAAGAGTAGTTTATGTTAGACACAGTCTGATGAATTTTTGTTCTGTTAGTAACATTGGTGGTCTGTCTTATTCTATTAACTTTATCATCAAAATACTTAGCAAACTGAGACGAATCTAAGTTAATTATTTCGTTAGACGATTCTCCAGTTAACTTGATTACATAATATTTTGTTTACTATATTCCATAAATTCTTAGGAGATCCGCAATTTTCGTTAATCAGTTTTTTCCAATAACAATTTCTTTTTTGGGAAAAAAATTGAGATTTGTTTTTTAGTGCTGCAATCCAATCACTTTTGCGTTCAGTGGACTGATATTTCTGTAGATACTTTCTTTTTTACGGCAGAGTCTTTTAATAGTCTTACATTCATTATCATACCAAGGAGCAGCAACATCACTTCTAACTAGTAAGATGAAACGTTGCAATTTCATCTGCCAATATCTTGAGTTCAGTATTTAAAATATCAAATTCAAAATTGATGTCGCCGCTTAGACATGACGTTGATAATGGTGAATTCTCTACATATTTGAATAAATTGGTTTTATCAAGAAATCTCCATGATTTAACCAATTTCGTAATTGTTTTAGGACATTCGTGAGTTAGTGGTATAAAGACCTGGATTAAACTATCGTCAGAAAAATTCCCACCAGGGAAAATGTTTAGATCTGAAACCAAAATATCTTGTGAACAAACAATCAGATCAAGTATACCGCTGTGTTCATGAGTTGGCTCATTGATTAGTTTTTTAACTGAAACATATCAAACGTCTCCAGCAAATTCATGGTGTGACGATCATTTGGTTTCTCAAGATGGATGTTGAAATCGCCCAAAATTACTAGATTTAAACTAAAAGAAGCAATATTTTCCAGTAAACACAAAAATTCTTCAAAAAATAAATTAGTAACTGGTGCAGATCCAGATCTGTAGAGGGCTAATAAAATAAAATCTGTTCTTCTAATATATAATTTTAGAGCAAGTGCTTCAAACGATCCAAACATGGATAAAACAATTTTTTTAAATTTAAATACATTTCTGAAAAAAATAATCAAACCACCATGGCAAGGATCATTTATTCTTAAAAAATCAACGTAACTATATCCTGGAAGAACTGAAGATTTAACAGAAATATTATTCGACGACCCATGCCAAGTCTCAACTAGAACTAAAATGTCTAACCCATTGTAAATTAAATCGTAGATTGCATATGATTTTGTGTTTATTGATCTGATATTTAATAAACCTAACGTTACTTTATAATTAGTTTTTGCTAAATCCCTTCTAATACTATTATTATCTTCAGAATTATTTTCAACTCCAATGTTCACATCTGCTTTCGAGATAATTTTACAATCTTCCATCTTCCTACTGGTCCTCTTACTCTGTACAAAAAATTTTGATTTATCTCTTCTTTTTCCATGGCTTTAGCTTTATCTACATAAGTTTTGTATTTGTCTTTGATCTTTTGTCAAATCAAAACTAAGACCAACTTGTGAAAAACCCTGCAAAGGTTTGAATTTTTTGACATTTCTCATTATGGAGTCTCTAAGAAAAACACTGTCCAACTTTATCAAGACTGTCTACATTTTCTTGTTTTCTTCCAAGTCTAACAACCTTGATGACATTTTTTTCAAAAACATCCCCAGCTAAATGATTCAAGATCTTTAGAACGTTAGCACTGTCGTCAACACTCTCCAATAAACGAAACATTAACAGGTTCGTCTCTCTTTCTTTAATTTCGTTTGCCTCTTCTAAAACCCTCTGGAGAGATTTTACCTCGCTTTTGATGACGTCGAAATTTGCGCTACTTTCTCTGCTAACGACGCTTGAAAACGTTTCTTTTGATTCATTTTTGCATGTTTTAAGTTCGTCAAGCACAACCGTATCAAAATGGTCAAGTTGATCCAGTCGTGATTCACTACGATCCACATTCACTTTTAAACTGTCTATATCGAATTTTATTTTCTTATTTATTTCATTTAATTCATTCAACTGAGTAATTATTTCACTTTTCGTGTTGTCTATTGATTTTGCAAAAGAACCGATGTCCAATGACAAATCAAAACAACGGTTAAAAAACCACTTTGAACCTTTAGAATTTTTCAAGACTTTTAGAATGTCGTCATTAATTTCACATTTATTATGAACGCATGACTTGCAACATGAACAAATCAACAACTCCTTGTTAGGAACTACTTTTATACACTTAGTACAACTATAACGTGTGCTCATTGTTGTTTTAGTATCCAATATTATAATAAGCTAGATTCTAGCAACAGGTAATATTATAATTAGCTAGCTTTATCGGCAAGTAATTATACCTATCACGTGACAAAACTTCTAAACGAAACTTTAACAAATTTACGATATCCCACCAAAAAAGCAAAATTTTCTAATTAAATTTATACCAGATCATTCTTAATAATTAAAACTACTATTTACGAAATTATTAACAGTAAATAAGGACTTTTAACCAAGAGAAGCGCAAAAACAGCAACAAAACAACAAACACAACCGTCCTTTAACTTTCCAACGAACGAAAATCCACTTTATGCTACGAATGATCAGTGAACGAGCGATTGAAATGAAGAAAGATTTGTTTATATGTTTTGTTGATTACGCCAAAGCTTTGATAGCGTAAAACACGTGGAGCATATAGAAATATTGGAAAATTTGGACATTGATGGAAAAGACTCGAGAGTTATCAAAAACTTCTATTAGGACAAAAGAGCAGCGATGAAAGGTGGTAACAAGATGACTAGTTTTGTCGAAATAAAGAAGGCTGTGTATTCTCTCCAGACCTGTACAATCTCTATAGTGAGATCATCATGAAAAAGATAGAAGATCTACCTGGAATATCCATTGGAGGCGTGAATATAAACAATGTAAGATATGCTGATGATATAGCTCTTATAGCAGAGTCAATGGAAAAACGGCAAACAATTGTTTGAAAGTGAAAAAAAAGGATTAAAAATTAACATCAACAAAACAGAGTGCATGGTTATCAGTAAAAGCAAAACCGCCACGATCTTCTCCATAATCATTAATGGTAAACATGTGAAACATGTCAACAGCTCCAATTACCTCGGAAGTCTGATTATCTCAGGTTATAAATGTGATATGGATATCAGAAGATGAATAGCTATGGCGAAAGATGCATATTCTAGAGTGAAAAACATCCTCACCAAACAGTAAAATCAGAATATCAATAAAATTAAAACAGTTAGGGTGTTACATTTTTCCTGTGCTAACTTACAGTTCTGAGTTCTGGACATTTTCTACAGAAATTTAAAAAAAGATTAACGCTGCTGCTGAGATGTGGTTTTGAGAAAAATTATGAAAATTAGTTGATCTCTCATACTTCGAATGGGGATGTATTAAAACAGTCCGGTTATGAAATGAGGAAATTACTACAGATAATCCTACAGGGGATAATTTAAAAATAAAAATAATTAAAGACTTTTTACTTCTTTTTTTTAAAACTTTTCACTTTTTTTAAATAAACTTTTCATTTTCATCAAAAACTATCTTTTTTCATTAAAATCTTTTATAATTTGTTTTAATTTTGCAGTATTAGTCAATTTATTTACTCATTATTGCTATTATTTATTTATCCATTTATTTATTTATTCGTTTCTTCGTTGATTTATTTGTCAATTAATTAATTAATTAGTTAATTAATTTAATTGCTTGTTTGTTTCTTTCTTTTTTTATAAAACAATTACCCTATGATTAATCCATTAATTTGTTTTCGTACATTTCTTAATATTTCTGTATTTTCTTGCTTGCTGTATCATTGTCTGCGTCTGACAGAGGATGAATTTTGAAGAATAAGCAAAAAATAATTTCTAATATTTTTTAATTATTTTTTTTTTCAATTTAAATTTTGGCATTAAAATTTGGTCACTGTTGGTCAAAAAACTTTAAATATTTTGGCATATGACATATTTACAATTTTTCTGTCTGTTTTTGTTTCATATTTGGAAGGTGGTGTTGAAAATTTTCAGTAATCTTTTTTGACAGTTTAAATCATAATTTTAAATCGTATTAAAACATCCCAAGATATTAGAAGCAGGTTGAATGGTGTGATTAAAAGGCAGAGGAATCGTCAAACGTTGAAAGGACAGCTTGTACAACAACATCAGTCAGAACAACAGCAAGCACAACAAGCACTACAACAACAACATGAGCTGGCAAAACAACAACAGCGATTACGAGATTCTTTTGAAAGAACTCATCAGCTTATGTCAAACAATGAACGCAAAAGATTGACAACGGGAAGCTGTCTGCATCAACAAGGTAGGAAACATTTACAACACAATAAAAACCAATACCAAAATAAAATTAAAATAACTGACAATCATTTGTTTACTTCTATTTCAATTAACTCAAAAACAAACAATTTTCCAGAACATGGTAATGATCAACTGAGTTTTCCGGCAAAAATAAGTAACACACACAATTTAGATTACTTATCAATTAAAGAAAAATTTCACGATGATTATGCTAAGAAAACAGACATACTTACTACCAAAGAAAACATGAAGAGAAAAATAGCTCGCTGTTCTTACAAAGGTTAATTTTTTTGGTTTGTCAGTATTTTATTCATCGTTAATTTACCACCTCTTTTCATAATCTTATGCATCCTTTCTGATATTTGCATAAAACAGTAAAGATCTTGGCTGTTTCACGCTTCCAGCTCTTAATGAAATATTTTGATAAAATGGTTTTTTGATCAAAATCTTGTAAATGGGTTATCGAATGTACTTTATTCAATTGTACCTTTTGGCATTTGACATCCTTAACGTTGCAGAAATTAAAAATAGAAATATCTTCTAAGTAGAAACGAATTAAAAAATCTTCCGAAAGTATCTGATGCCGCTAGTTTTACAATACATTTTTCTTCCATAAAAAAACATTTCTATATAACGTTTTATCAAAGGTTTAAAGGTTTAATTTTTTTTTTGATTGATGAATACGCTTGAAACTACGCATCACACCCATTGCATGTGATTGGTGTGGATATTCTAGGTATCGAATCCAGTCACTGCCACAGCAGGACCAGCTCCTTCGACCATAGGCCATCACGTCGATTGTACTTATTATTTCTTTACCATATAGTTCTTTTTTCACTAAATGCCAGGAGTTTAAATTTGCCTTGTTTTTAGCTAATTACTTTTTGCTATAATTGTTTTAATTAGCATAAATAATGTGCATACAAACACTGTGCAGCAACACAGGAAGAGTCGTCCTTCAATGATTGGCAACTGAGCACAACACCTCGACAGCAGCAAACCACAAGTATCATAACCAGTCTGTACAATCATCTCATTAACTTATTTTTCATTTTTTAATCATAACATTTCTATGATTTTATGATGATTACAACTATCCAGTAAATTTTGAAACCGGTTTTGTCACTTTTTTAATAGTTATTACTTTGAATTTATCTTGATACAAACTGTGATAGTATGTAAGTATGATAGTGTCTTATCTTCAATCGTTTGTTAGGTTTTTGAATTGCAGAGTTTTTAATTTGCTAAAGAAATATAAATCTCGTCTCATTTTCGTGCACTACATATGTATTTTTCAGCCACATTTAAAAAGATAGATGTGATTTGCTCTAATAATACTGAATAAAAATTAATTTACATTTATTCATTATCTTCAATTTAATTTTTACATTTTTCATCTGTTAGGACCGCATGCTTCAAATAAAGATATTTTTTAAATTTTTCATTAATATTTAATAGTTCTGTTGGCGTTGATTATATTATGTAATGATGCATCACCACCACAGCATATCACTTCAGCAATGCAGCATCTAAAGGACGACATGATAAGAAACAATCAAGTAAGACTTTGTTCATTTATTTGTTATTGTTGAACGACCTTAGCTCGAACATGATTATTTGTATGTTCAAGAGTGTTAATAATTTGGATTACAATTTTGAAGCTAAAAATGTTTAATTTCAATTATAATCACATTTTCATTTAATTAGCTGGTTGGTATTTATTATGATCATGAGGGGCTTGTTTGTAACGTCAAACACTTTTTATGTTTTTTTTCTGCGTTACAAAATATCAAAACAAATTGAGCTTGCATTGATGAGCAGGATTTTTGACACTATAATTTGACAAGAGACAATACAAAACATGTCAAAACCAAACATTGAAGTGATCACGGCTTTTCAGCACTCCATTTGAATCCAACACTTAATGTCATCGCTCGCCAGTCAGTGTCATATTGTCCTCATCACCCAGATCAACATCGTGCCTGCCTGCCTCCTTCACCTTTCCCCTTTCAACAACCTCCACAGAAATCTACAACAAGTTCAACATCTCCATCCACTGACAATGCTCCACATCATTACAAGAGCTTGTCCATCTGGCACTGGTCCTGATGGTCTCTCCACATTCATCTGTCACCCTCTATCATTTACAATATCTGTTTTACCCACTCCTCATTCATCTCAACCAATGGAAGCACAGCACTTTTCACCAAATACAAAAATCAGTCATCCAACCTTACGCATCAATTATCGCCCGCTACCCACATCAATCCTTCCACACATCTTGGAAACACATAATGTCAATTCATACCTCAATCCGTGTCTCAATCGTCCATTTGTCAAACTACATCTCCAGGACCAACTGGGTCCTCCACTGCTGCTATAATATCTCTTACACCTAAAATTAATTATCTACTTAATAATATTGATTAAGGTGAATAGTTTGTTCACCTTATCGCTCTTGATTTCTCAAAAGCCTTTGATAGTCTGTCACTCGCTACTCACTTGCTACTAATCTTGTCTCTCTTACACTACCTAATAACATCTATAATCTTTTAATTGCCTTTCTACTTGATAGAAAAAACTCTACATATTTTAAAACACTCTAAACACTCTACAACTTTAGCAATCGACTCCAGTGTCGTTCCAGGTTCTGTTGTTGGTCGCTCTGCTTTCATCATCAACGCTTTCACCCTACAGCCACAGTCTCACTTGAACAGAATCACAAAACACGCAGACGACACATACCTCATTACTCCTTCGTTAAACGCACCATACAAACTGAGCTTGACTGACTTCTCACCTGGTTCAAGCAGTGCAATCTTTCACTTAATTTAAATAAGTTATTCAAACTAATCATTCAAATTATTCACAGAAATGTATATCTAGAACATCCTTCAATAGCCTTCACTTACCAGCTCAAAATTCTAAGCATCACTT